CCCATTTTTAAAAATTTTGCATCGGCACAAAACTCAGTCCCGACTGGATTGAGAAGGGTATAAGGCAGAGGGGTAACCCCTAATCGCTATAATATCTTAATCATGGCTACCCAAACTGCTAAATTTCGAGCTGTCACATTTTAAAACCTGGCACCTTCTCCCATCCAAGCTAACACTTCAATTACTATGATTCAAAATTTTTCGTACACAAAAAATATTCTACTTTTCTGTCTGGTACAATTTTCCACGGAATCTGACTTATCACTTTATTTTCTTTTCTTTGGTAGTAGTAGTAGTAGTATCAGCAGCAGTAGCAGCACCACCTGTCGAAGCGTAATTTTCCCAAACATCTGCAAAGGCAAGCGTTCCAACAAATACCAGCACTGCACCGGCCCAGTGCGCCAGCGTAAACGGATTCCGAAACCAAATGATTGAAATGAGCAGCGACAGGAATTTTCGTAACGTAACAACCATTGTTACCGTCAGCGATTCAACGGTTGCATTAAGTCGATAAACAAAATTTATGCATACCCATCTGTAAGTGAATTTATTTGATAAAACTTACTTTCGGACAAAGGCAGAAAAGCAGGTATGCCAGGGCACAACCTATATTAGCCACATATCAAAAGCTCGCATTCGACTGGTTTCAAACCACCCTTCCAATTCAGCTTACAGGACCGAACATTAAACTAAATAAGAAAACCCAGAGCGATAAAGGATTTACACCACCACAAAACTTTTCCGCACTTGTGCACAGTGTCATCGGCCCATAGTCTCCAAGCAATAACACCCATCTGTAATTTGCATTCTAATCACAGTTTTTTTTCGGCTAATTTCGCTAGAAGTATTGCTACTTGAGTTCATTGACACTTATTTCATTTAAGTGTCGTAAATGATCAATAAGTTTTGAAAACAGTCGGTCAAGCTGCCCCGGTTTTGAACTGTTCAACTGACACATTATCAACAGCGATTAGGAGAAAAAAATTTACTGTAAAAGACAAGTGGCAGCAAGGTAAGCCCACATATGGGGAATCCGAAAACCAAAGATTTCAACCGGATAACTGCGAGAAAATGCAACTGCAGATTTGTAGATATCTTCACCCATAAATGCGAAAAACGGCAACGAAGCACCGTGCTGTAATACAGTAAAAACTTCTAATTCCCACTTCTACATGCGTTAAAAAAACACTTATTACTGGCGGTCAGAAATAAGTCAAAATTAGATCGCTAAAAAAAAATCGCAAGAGGGAAAAGTTCCCTCATTTGCGCCGAGACATGTTTGCAGAATCATCCGCTCAAGAAAACGCAAACGCGGCGTGCTCTATGAAAAACACATGATTATATATTTCTGCGGTGTATTTCCGGACAGACCAGGGTACATGGACGGTGACTACGGTCAGCAGCACTCACTGATGATGCAAAATCAAGAAATAACTTACAATGACAAACATTGCTTCCTCTGTATGCTTTCCGTAAGTTCTGTACATTGTTTCCTGGCAGATTGCTAAATACGCCGATGCTAATAATGCTGTCGTGAGCATTGTAATTCCTTAATAATTGTTAAGTTAGCAACCTGCACAAGCCTCAAAAGATACGCAGTGAGCACTGGATACTTCGGCTCAAATCCCAGTTTTACCGTTACAAGTTGTTTTCATTCCGTAATCTTCAGTTAGTAATAGTATTTGACAGAGAAGCAACTGGCACAACTGCACTTCACGCTCCGGTGCGCCTCAAAAACGCCGATGATTCCATGCCGCTAACTAAGAAAAAAAAGTTGCGACGCATCAGGCTCGTCGGTGCGACCATGCATTTTGCATGATTTCGTCCTTTACACAGATCGGCTGTACTAATTAAGCGTGACTGCGGCGTTGCAGTTTGAACATTTGATGTGCCTGTACGCAGGACCCATGCCTAGGCAGAAACTCATCTTATGTTTGTTGGCTCGTACATGAACAGAAAACATCTTTAGAAAAATATTGCTTCCTACTCAGTCTGGTTGCTAAGCCAACTGGGGGCCAAAAGTCCAAAATTAAACATTCACTTACGTGCACGCGAGACTTCGGAATGTTTTAAAGCTAAATTCGAAATATTTAGGTCGCACACTGCCATAGAATTCTTCGCAAATTTCAGCTCCTAGCACGATTGGTTGGCAAAATCGCTTTTCGTTACAAATGTCTTTGACGTGCCCGAACACATAACAACGACGAACGCCAACGCTCATTTTACGTCTGTATACTCGTGAATGAAAAGCAAATATTCGCGTCAATTTGCAGCGCTCTAATCAACCTAGTTCCCAAGTTGGCATATTACCAGCAAAATGTCAAACCCAACACTGATGTGCCGCACAAGTGACGCAGGCATGCGTTAAAGATGAATTTGAAATTTTTAGCTCACAAAAGGATACGGAACATATCTGTGAAATTTCAATTTCTTATACTGTCTGGTTCTCAAAACCGCTTTCCTACTAAGAAATTTACGTTTTCTTTTAGGCATCCATGAGTAAGATCCAAGCATACGTGAATGATAAACGAACAAAATAGTGGCAAACGGAGTAGGAATACGCTTCAAAAGTAAAACTTATTAGCTTCTCTGGTTGCTAAGCTGGAAGTGTGTGGCAAATTGTGAACATGCACAACACATGTACACATACCTACATACACAGTTTCATGCCAATATGAGATTTTACATTTGCGTAAATATGCAAAAAACATAAAAATATTTGAGACTGTTCAAATTCTGACGAAACTTACCGATCAACCATTCACGATAGCGCTTTTCAATATCTTCTATCGGTGTTCTGCGACCCGTCTTCTGTAACACTCAATATCCGCCGCTCATCACTTCGGCATTATAAAAATAGGAATAAAATACAGCATAACTGCCATTACAGCAAACTTAACAGGTCCACTTTGCCAATTAAAACAAACTTGTAAATGTGAGGTAGCCATTGTACAAATGATTATACCAAGCGTTATCGACAGCACTGCCACGTACTTACGCAATGAATATTGCTTCCCTTGCAAAAGTTTTGTTAAAATTAAACTCGCTAACAGTGAACCCTGAAAAACAGATATGCATAATGCATAAAATCGTTAATGAATTTGACGCAAAAGCAGATACTTTTTTAAGAATTTTTGCTGCTCATATGCAGAGCAGCAAGTGTAAAATGAGCTTCTGCTTAAGCATTCGCCCTGCGTACTGGTCAAACTGTCATCATTCCATTTCCGGTACGCACGCTGATAAGAAAGATTAAATTTTATCAGAATACTGATTAATTCTGTGGAACAGGAAAAAATTAATAGCAGCTTCCACGCACCCCAACGTCTTACATATCAAGACCGCAAAAAACACACGATCGAACCGGAAATCCTGGTGCGCGTTGCTACCTGGGCAATTACTGCGCAGTTTCAACAACACAGTTCCGTACTTTTCAGATTTCGCTTGTTTTAAACAGCTGCTACACGCTGCAAACCACTGCAGTTCTTGAACCCTTCGCCAGCAATATTTCGTTGCTGCGAAAACACTCAAATCCAGTCACCAGGATCAGCTTGCATTTAACAACGAGGGCAGAAAAGCATTTGCAGGTTGCGATATTGCACAGAACCAGGAGGTATCGATATCCAGGTGTTGATAAACTGACAAAATACGGTTGCTTTAATAAAAAGATGCTTTGTCGCGGAAATCCATTTTGATTATGAAAAACGATTCTGGTGGAGGGATGCCACCTCCGTAAAGGCCCACTAATCATAATCATAAAAACTGATCACTTTTACTTGAGGCACAACTCAGCTTCTTTGTCAAAAAAAAGCATTCCAAAAAACTGTTAGGGGCGAATTAATAATTCTCACCGAACGGAAAATGATGTGTAGTGGTACAGGAACATGAAAATTCAAGGCTTGATTATTGATAACGTTGACCAAAAAAAATGTTATCACAGTTGGGAGATAACCCCTGCAAAAAAATATGCCGCGAAACTGATCGATTAATGTTTTAATAATCTACTGATTTTAGAGGACAGTTTGAAATCTCGCTGAACTCTTTTTATTAGATCCGTACAGTTTTTAAACATAAAAATAAAATGTTTATTAACAAAAGAAGCTATTACCACTACCAGTTCTTACATATTATAAAATATACTAAAAAATAGTGCTTACGTCCGAAAAGTGGCTATCTCAGAAAAAAGAATGAAAATGAATACCGACTGTAACAGAAGAAAACTTAGGAGGAGGGAATCCCGATGTTTTTTTTTGGTGATCAGATAAGCTAAAAACCCCGTGCAAAATATCGAGAGTTAGCAAAACGCGCTGCTCAGGATTCGCTGACAGCCAACGAAAAATAAATGATAATCCTCGGAGAGCAGCAAAGCGAACAGGGCGGGACCAGAAACACAGCTGGAAGAAAGACGGCCTGGCTCAGCAGTGATGCTTTGCAGCAAAATAAAGCGCCCATGGTTTATGGAAATTCTTGGCCAATGCAATATAATAAGTTTAATGAAAAACTGAAATTTAAACTTACTTTACAGGAATCTTATTTTTGACGGAAAAAAATTTAGAAGTGAAAATAAGGCCTTCCAATGAAATGAATAAAAACGTTGAGAAAGTCATCAAATTCATTGAGCCTGGCTGCTCTCTGCAAAAAGAAAAAGTCTAAAATCTCTCTTTTTCCAACACTATACGCAGGAGAGTAGTGGAATGGGATTTTGCAAACAAAATTTAAATTTTCAGCAAAATTTGTAAGATTTTTAGACTGGGACACAAAAACTGGAATAGTGAGTCTACACACAGACAGAAAGCCTTGCAAAAAAAGCAACCAGCTTTTACTTTGCTCGAAAATTTTAGGACTGTGTGAATTCAAAAGTTAATTTTGCTCACTAAAATTCAGTCGAGAAACATGGTATTCGTGTATTTCTGAGAATTCGGAATCCTTGGCATGAAAAAGTACGAAAAACTCCTGGATTGAATGGAGCAAAAAAAGAGAGCAAAATAAAAGTAAGCCGCAGAGCTTTAAATGAAAAAATGCAGAAGCCGAAATTTGCTAAAACACATTAACTTATACTTAAAAATACAGACACTGAAAAATGCGAAACACAATGTCAAAATATCAGATTCATGCAGAATATGAAATAAAGCAATTGCAGTGTTCCGTTTAGCCATAAAAGGTCATTCCGGTTCACCAGAACTACTCAACTTAGGACTGTGCAACATTCCGCATGAGGTGGTTTAGTTTTAGCAGACAAGCAGATGCAACACTGGCAAGGTAAGGATCGAAGCACTTGAACATTCTCATTTTAGCAACCGCCAAAGGATCCACATCACGCAGCCATTCAATCCAAGGCTCGCAGCACAAAAAAAAAAAAAAAATTATGAAATTTTCTAATTGATTTTCCTCAAAAAACGTACTTTGCAATAGATTCCACAAAATACATGCATCCAATGCAACCGGCTAGTGTGCCGCATACTGGAACCAGCGCTGATGACATCACCTGAAATGAACCGGACCAAATTATGTGCATCTGAACCCAGGCTGGAACGCACCAGGCGGGCCGGTGCGATTATGCGTTTTTGCACTTTTCGTACAGTAG